AATTATGAAGGGTTCATGAGGGAGGGGAGAAGGGGGAGGGAGGGGGAAAATGAGCAAACAATATTAAGGGCTAAAGTAGAGGGCAAATGTTTTGAGATTGATGAGGGCAACAGGTGTACATATGTGCTTGACCCAATGGATGGATATATGGACTGTGAAAAGAATTGTACGAGCCCTCAATAAAATAATTTTTAAAAACACATTTGCTTTCTACTTGAGCCCTTGGAATCAGCTTTTATTTCTTTAAGAATTACCATTTTTAAGACTAAACTTTAAAAACCAAAATGCATAAATAAAATTAATTTTTAAAAAGTTATGGCTCGCAGCCTTAACGACCCCTGGATCTAAACTCGGTCTGAGCGGCTGGACCAGGAGAACCAAAACTGCAGTGGGCTTGGAGTCTTTATTGACACACAGGCCACTTCAAACGGGAGAAGAAATTTTGCTTTAGGTTTTTAAAATGTTTCTGGGTGAGGACAAGAGCTAAATTCAAAAGGGTACAGAGAATTATACTGTAGTGTTTAAAAAGAATTTAAAACACTAACTTCTACTCATTTACATAGCAGATTGCCTTCTAGTCATTTTCCTCTAAAACACACTTCCCAAATCTGTTCTTTTTTTCCTTTTGGATTATCTCCTATATATTGTTTTGTTAAATCTTTAAACCACTCAAAACAGTGGTCCAGAGCAATGTTATCATTTAATTTCATGTGTTTCCATTGAGGAAGGAAAAAAAAAATTAGCAGCCATTGGTCAAATTAGGCTTTTGAACAATTTTGCAATCAAGTTCCTTTTCCAAACGTTTCTATTTTTCACCCACTTTGCAAATGCCTTTCTAAGATCGTGCCTTTGTGCTTTGTGGATGGGAAATGTCTTTATATACTAATGCCCCAGCACTGACTCTGTGGTTGCAGCCGGTCCCCAGGTTATAAACACTCTGGCATCTTAAAAAATTCCTAAGTACGTGGGACCAGGTGCATATGGTTATGTGTAAGAAGGAGCCATGGTGGCACAGTGGCTAAAGCACTCAGCTGCTAAACAAAAAGCTCTGCGCTGGAACCGACCAGCCGCTTCCTAGGAGAAAGACAGTCGGAGAACTTCGGCCAGAGTGGAAAACCCCATGGGGCGGCTCTACTCTAGTCTACGGGGCCGCTGAGCTGGACTCTACATGGAGAGCAGGAGTTGGGTTTTCTCCAAAGGGGACTGGTTCAAATGTACAGAACTTACACAGCAAGGAGGACTGTCCCTAAGTTGGTCATTTGTGACCTGGGGACTGCTGGCACTTTGCTGAAACCTTTGTGTTGTAATTGGATGCAACATGAACTACTTCTGATTACTTCTCTGGAACATGGGTGTTAATTTCCACCTTTCTCCAGAAGACAGTTCAGATACGTATTTTGACTAAACCAGGAAATAGCAATATCTGCTTTAAGAGCATCAGGAATGACCTGAACAGCACTGACATTTCTGGCTGGGGTTAGACAGCGGTCTGCCGACCACAGACAACACGCTCGGCTGTAGGTGGAAACAATGCAACTGCAGACACTGGCCAGCTTCTAAAGATAAATAACTTTTTGGTAACGCCTAGGGCTGAAATTGCATAAACAGCAGAAGTTACCAAGCCCTAAGACCAGTTTTTGTGGGTTTATGATTTTATGCCATCGATACTTTCCTAAAACACATATGGCAAGAAGACAAGCACGCTAGAGGAGTACCACCTGGTGACATTTGTTCCAATTCTGAATTAGGCTAAGCTTAATTGTTCGGAATACTCCTTCTTGAGCCCATTTGTATTTAGGTCGTTAAGGTGACTGTAATCGTCTCCTTATAAGGAAAAGTTTCATTAAACATGCTAGAAAGCTACAGCCTGTTTTCAAACACCAACACTTGGATCTTGTTATGTTAATAGTTCTAGATGTCTCAGCTTATTAAACGAAAACACCCTTAAATAGTTTTATCTCAAGAATCTGAGCAACAAAATTCTTAAAAAGCTGACAATGGAAAACAGCTGACAACATTCTGGGAACCTCCCAGAGTAATAGGAAATGGCATGAACTACTTATCTTATTAATCTTTCGCTTCACAAATTTTGGACACGTTCTCAGGAGGGCCCAGTCCCTGGAAAAGGAAGGATCTCATGCGTGGTAAAGTAGGGGTCAGCAAAAAAGGAGGAAGGTCCTTCCATGAAATGGGCTGACAGTGTCTGCAATAATGGGCTGAAAATATAATGGCTGTGAGGATGGTGGGAGGACCGGCTGTGCCTCATTATGTTGTAGTTTCAATGAGTTGGAATTGACTTGACGGCAACAGAGACAGTCATTGAGCCTGAGTTTTTCGACTAGCTGAGAGTGACACCTGCCATCATAAAATGGTGTTCAAACGGCTTAAAGTCTGGAGACGGTGGGATGGAGGGGGAAACAAGTAGACACTAAGCTTGCTAAGGATAGGGCAATCTGGGAATGAATTATGCTGATGGTTAGCATGATACACATAACTACCACCCAACTGTACATGTGAAAAATGTTGAAAATTTGTTATGTATTTTAATATACATACGCTTATCACACACACACACACAGTCTGAAGTACATGCAAGTGGAAGTTCCTTGCCAATTAAAATGTTGGCCCACATAAATTCACTCACTGACATCGAGTCAGTTCTGACTCTCGGCGACCCTGTAGGACAGGCTGGAGCCACGGGCAAGGCTTTCACCGACAGTGAGTCCTAACAGGCGTAGCCGGCCTGGTTGTCCTCCTGCAGAGCTGGCAGCGTGGAACTGCGGAGCCTGTGGCTAGCAGCCAAGGTATAACCCACAGCAACACCAGGGCTCCTGGTTGACCCACTTAGTACTAACGACCCAGATAACATTCTCCAGTGGCACTGAAATGACCCATGACTCTAGCACTATTAAAATCTTTTTACCTCTCCTGTGCATAACCACCCATATTCTGTCCTCAAAAAGGCAATGAAAAGTTGAAAAAACTTGGAGAATGTCTTCCTTTCACCTTGCTGGTATTGTTAACATTTTTCTTTTTAATTTCCACATATGATCATTTGATTGTACATCATAAAATTTTTAAAGTATTTTAATTACTCAAAGATTATTTTTATCAGACTTGTCATTGAATGAAATGGCTTGTTTTACTACAAATGGGATGAAAAAGCTACCATTCTGTATAGAAAAATCTCCTATTTTCATGTGTTTCTTGAGTCAGGGTAAAACTTGTTAATCTACACTCAGCGCCACCCTCCCCACCCCCGCAAAAAAACAAAACAAAAACCCAAGACCGACTGCCTCTGTTCCTGACTTGTAAGCAATTCTATGGGACAGACGCGGGCTGCCCTTACAGGTTTCGTAGGCCACAAATCTTTATGGAAGCAGACTGTCAGTCTTCTTCCACAGAAGCTGGTGAATCTGAACCTCAGACCTTTGAGTAGCTAAGTGCAGTAACCACTGTGCTACCCATTATTTGCTGAAGTGAGCATTCATCCATCTCAGAAGGAAAATACTCCCGGTGATCAATACTTTTTAAAAAAATGCTAAAGAGTAACTTTATTAAATATATAAATGCAAGAACATCTAAGGTTTTTGTTTTAAAGATTACAGCATGCAAAGGCAGAGTGAACCAACAGTAATGATTTACATATACAAAATCCAAAAACATTTAAGAACTCTACATTTATCTAATAGACTAGATACAAATATTGATGTCAATGTTCAAAATGATAAAATGACTGTATGCTCTCTAGATGTTTACAGAGTCCTGACGGGAAACTTCCGCTGATCCACACCCAAACAGACTTATTTCCAGTAGAAAGTCTGACATGCTGTCTGTCACTGACATGTCATTTTGAAATGCAAGTCATGCGAGGAGGCCTCAAAAAGTTCCTGAAAACGTGGAATTACGAGTTAATGGGGTTTTTAATTTTTCTGTGAATCTTCCGAAGCCCTCTCATATGTAAACTTTAATCTCAGATTCTTTTCTACTTGGTTGACTTAATTATCTCTTCCCAACCACCACCCCCCCCTCCTGCCCATCCTCCCCTTCCCCAGAAGCCCTGCCTTCTCCCATCAGGACCAACTTGGTCAAAGCAGGATTGACACCTGGATGGGTCTAAGCAGAGTAAAAAAAAATCTCCATAAATATCTCCATTGTGTTTCTCTTTGCTTTTGGCAGGTACTTGACTATAGTTTGAGAGACACATACAAGGACACGTGAAAAAGTTTGTGGAAAAATGGAAATTAAAAGACAATGAAAATTTTCCACCAACGATTTTAAACACCCGCCCCTAGGATACTCAGAGAAAAACAAAAGCATTTTGGACTATCAATCACCCTGCCCTTCCTCTTGCCAGCCACTATACTCCGAACTTCACATTCCCGACTAAGCAAGCACATGGGAGTGTCATCAAGCACCCGGGAACTTTGTGGTAAACCCCAGAGATCCCAGGGAGAATAGATCAGTTAGAGGTAGAGGGAAGAAACAACAAGAGAAAACATTTTTTAAGAAAAACATAATTCACACAAACATGTTTTATAAAATACTTTAAAATAGGTAAACTAAATTCAATGTAAGTGATATTTTGCCATATGACCAATATTATGTAATTTTAGTGTTCAGGAAAGAGAATTTTATACCTGTAAAAAGGAAATTACTTCCTTTGCTGGTAGAATTGTTACAGCGCTGGCTTCAGAACGCCAATAAATCTCATCTTTTGGTTTATTTGGCCCCTATCACATCTATTAATTTTAAAACTTGAACCCCCTATGTACCAGGCTAAAATTGTACCTTTTTCTACATGTTAGTGAAGGAAAAAATAAAATAAAATCAAGGTCGCTAAAATCCCAATTTTATTTTGGCAGACCTAACTCAAAGGAGATCACATTGCAAGTCCAAAGATCTATGTGAGGCATCTTCAGTAAACTTGAATCTCCAATCATTTTTATACAAAACTGCCCATTTTAGAATCTGCCATAAGAGCAAATGTTGAAATTTAAAATAAGTTACTGGGCCAGCCGTGACGTCTTTCCATGGTCGCAGTTACAAAGGATTCACCCCACCACTCTCCACAGTACCGGCATCACAAGTTCATATCTTTGAAAAACGGATGCAGTAGGGCTCCTTCCGCTGTTATTCTCGATGCTGGATTTAGATCTAGAAGTTTATCAAGCAAGTCATACGCTTCATCAGGCACCTCATCCCAGCCTTTTAAATTGGTAGTGTCCTCCAGCAAACGGCTGTCGCAGCCATTGCTGCCCTCTCTGTGCAGTGAGCTCCCCGCGTGCTGGGGAGCGGCAGGATGGTCAGTCTTCTCGGATAATGCTGGGTCAGCAGTACAAGGCCTTTGTTTATCATTTGCTGCCTCGGGCATTTTAGAGTCTACACCCCGGAGCCTCTCACAGAGCTTTCTTAAGTCTTGTGCTGGGACTTCTTTGCTACATAAAATTGATTTGCCTAAAGGAAAAACCAAAATATGCATTTTGTTATTATAACATCTGAGGAAGTCAGAAGCCTCACCCACCTGTGATCACAGGTAGAGCCTGCTGTTTGAACTACAAAACTGAAGGCCAAATAAAGTGAGTGACAGTAACCACAGAGCACTGATTTACTGAGCTGTGTCCGGGACGTGTTGACTTTGCTCATTTCCTCATGTCTTAAACTGTCCCCATTCCTGTCACACCCATAACCCCCACATACACACACACCCACACACAGTTCAAGTCTCTACACTTAAACTGACTTGACAGTTACTGAGAAAGCAACCTTCTGCTTCTAAGGCTCTGTCTTTGCATAGGATGTCCTCTGAGCCTCCCAGTTCAAAAATCACCTGTGAGGCCCCTGATAAAGGACTGAATTAATCACCGCAAGCATCTGTTGTGGATTTGTTACCTTTTTATCCTGTACTGTAGTTGCAGACATAGATATATGCCTGCCTTGCTTGCTAGACTGAGTTCTTTGAAGATAGGGTTATTCTATTCATTTTTTAACCCTTAAAAACTAAACACAATACGGGGTACATTCTGACATTCAATGTTTGCCACACTAGAAAAAACCCCAGCATTATTTCTGTTATGTCCAGTCTGTGGTTGTGTGATTGTGATGAATTTGTTGCAAGTAGGTGGACAGGTTCAATCATACAAACTGGTTTACAAAAGCAGAGCTTTGAAACAATGTTGCCCTGCTCAAAGATGGTACCCAAGTGCTGGGCCCTGAAAGTGTGAAGCTTTCCAGTCCTGCCAATTATCCAACCTCACGAAAGGGCGCACTATGGAGAGCCTGTCCCTGACCACCCTACTCAAAGTGGCCGTGCCCTCTTCCCTCACCATCGCACTCGTCTGTGTCTGGTAAAACAGACTTGTCACTTGTCTTCCCCATTACACACGGTAAGCAGTACGAGGACGGAGACTCTGAAGAGTATCTGGCACACATTAGGCCTCAGTAGATGTTTCTGAACGAATTTAAAAAGCATACAAATAGCAATTATTTTTGCCTCTATTTCTTCTTAAAAACAGAAATGTAGCTCTAACAAATATGCATTCAGATAATTTCTAGAATCTAGTGTATGTGGATTACCAGCAATGATTCTGATTGGATTATGGAAAAGTTACCTTTATATATGTTGGTCTACTTAGTGGGTGGGCATATTAACATAAGGGGAAAAAGGGAGGGGTGTGGGGGGAAGAGAAGAGATAAAAGGAACAACACTGCCCCAAATGATGTTTGTTGAGAATATATTATGCCAATTCCTTTTTACTTCTAAACTTATATTTTTTGAAATTTATAGCTACAAAATAGTAATATAGCTTTATCCCATTTACTGTGGCTCCCAAGTGATGCACTAATTTACATTGATTATATCTCTATAACCTATATAATAGATTTATCTGGACTGTCTAGCTTGGATCCATAATCAATGCTCATGGAAACAATACAGAGATCAAAAGACATGTTGCATTAACTAAACCTGCTGCACAAGACCTCTTAGATGTTATTTTGAGGACTAAGGTGTCCCTGACCCAAGCCATAGTATCTCCATTGCCTCATTTGCAGTGAAAGTTGGCCACTGAATAAAAACCAAAGAATGGATGGATTTGAATTGTGGTGCTGGAGAAGAATATTGAAAATACCACAGACTGCTAAAAGGACAAACAAATCTGTCTTGGAAGAAGTATGGCCAGAGTGCTCCTTAGAGGTAAGGATGGCTAGACTTTGTCTTACATAGTTTGGACATGTTTTGGGGAGAGACCAGCTCCTGGAGAAGGACATCATGATTGGTAAAGTGGAGGGGCAGCAGAAAAGAAAGCCTTAAAGGAGATGGATTGCACTGACCCCAAGGCCGCGACTATGGGCTCAGGCATAGAAGGAATTTTAAGGGCGGTGCAGTAACTACCATGCAGTGTTTTGTTCGATTGTGCATAGGGTTGCAATGGGTTGAAGCCAACTTGATATCACCTAACAAGTTATTGGGCAGTTTGATACTTTCACATTTCCAGAGATGGACCACTTAAAATACTCAGGGGAAATAATTTAAACCGACACACTGAATAAAATATGATCTTTTCATAAATTACATCGTGCCAGATGTTTTTGTTAGCTCGGTTTTTCTTTTGAGTTTATCTGACAAATGGAGTACTTCAAGACAAGCCACCATGGGTCGGTTCCCATGTTGAGAGCGGCGGTGCATGTTAGCTACACAACAGGGTGCACGTGCTTGCTAACCCCGGGCATGTTATTTGTTTAGCCCATCACTTGGGGTTTACAGTTGTTGGAATTTGGAACCTTCTGCACTTGGCCCCAAATTATAGTAAGAACTGACTGAAATAACTATGTTAAGTCACACTGACTACACATAAACAAGTTTTACACAGGCAGTCTATCGGTTATGAACAAGATCCGTTCCTGCTTCTCTAATAAGATAGGCACGCCAGTTTACCCTTAACCTGAATGCTGAAGCCTTTTCAATGATTTAAAAGCTGCATAAGCAAGTCAACGTGGTTGTGATACATTTGTTGCAAGCAGGGAATGGCTCAAATGCTTTGTTATAGCAAATCTACACATTAGAGTTTTGAAACAATGTTGCCCTGCTCAAAGATGGCAGCCACTTGCCAGGTTAGGAAGTGTGAAGCTTTCCCATCCTGCCAATAATCCAACCTCTTGAAAGTGCTCACGTGCTCCTCTTTGGAGTCTCCTATTCCAGAGTTTCAACTCATAGTATCTCCCACTCAGATTATTATGATGAATTACCTAATTGTAAAAATCACAGTCTGTTCTTGATTCACTGTTTGCCATGACAACTGGTTTGAAACCCAGCATTAAAAGGCCATTAAGTGGGGCGGTAACCTGAGGATTGCCTGTAATAATGGGAAGAGCATCTTGATAATAAATCTCTAAGCCCTTGCCTACTTGGCAAGGTACATGGCTCTGGAGGATTGTGTGTCAGAAACTGTACTTTGGTGGTCCTCACTGTAATATCAACTTCAGTTTAAAGTCTTCAACAAAGTTCACGGGTGTTGGCTGTTAAATGTCATATTTGCAAGTATCAACATTACTTAATACTAGATAAGTAAGTTTTCTCATTTGAGAATAAATTATACTCCTCTCAGAATACCACTTCCATAATACTGTTTATTAAAATTAGGGGCACTTTCCCCTTATGTGCATGAATTATTTCAGCCTATTATTCTCAAATAAAATTTTCTTACAATAGTCACAAGACAAGCGTGGGTCTCTGGTGTACTTATGGGTTGACTGTGCTACACAAACATTTTTTGGTAAGCCTCTATCATGAGGCTTTCTACACAGCTACCAAAAAGTTTTCCTGCCACATCACATGGTAGTGGGGCCTAAGCAGGGAAAGCATTCTCCAGTGGTTCTTACCCAGAAATAATTCTTGGTCAAAATCACCAGTCCCCACCCCCAATTAACCAGCCGACCCTTCTCAAGATCCTGTGTATCTCAATCTATTTTCCAGAGAACAGAAGGGGGGGGGCAATCTTCTGTATTTCTTGAAGATCTGAAATATACCCCTGGATGTGGGTCTGGGCACAAGGCAGTCCGGTGCCTCATCAAGCGGCTGACTTTGTACCAAAGGGGTGCTCCGTGTCGTGTTGATTGGGATGAGAAGAGGCAAAAAGTTGTATCTTAAGACGGCCATCCACAAACCTCAAGACTCTAGTCATGACTCTGAAATAGGATGTAACACTGTGTCTTTTGTTAACTATGTTACGCCCACTGCTGTAGTTGCCCCGAGACTGTGGTCTGAAGGGTCTGAGCCCAGTGAGTCATTTCCTTGAGGTATGGGGTTATGGCTAAGAAGCTGGTAGAACTTTGCCTCCTATATACTCTGCACTTTCCCTGTAATAAATATAACTATATTTATAACACACAAATGTAGAACTATCTTCTGCTGAACATACATACACTCCTGGGAATGCTCCTATCTCCCTTCCCACGTCTGTTCAGCTTGCACACCTACCTAAGTAATCTACTTGTAGGTGCTATTCCTCTGAGGACTGTGTGTACAATATTTACCTTCGCTGTCTTTTAATCTGTATATCCTAGTATTGAAACAGATCCCCATGTCTGAAGAGATGACCTCGCACGTCTAGTATTTTCTTACATCAGTAAAGAGAAAGATCGGTGAAGTTCATTGCTCTTTTCTGCTCTCCTAACTCTAAGGTTCCTCACAACTACATTAACAGTCTAGTTACTTCCCCAGTAGTTACACTCTGTCGCAAAGACCTAACCGTTTATTTGGTACACACTAAGATAACTGAACGCAGGGACCATTGTGTACTCGATACCAAGTGGGACCCTGATGCTTAGGAACATACACTGAAAAATTAAAGATCATTAAAAAACATTCTGGCAAGAGTGTCATACCACAATCACAAGAAGTTCAGCACTATTCTATTCCTTAGTCTTTTGGTTACAGTTACAAAGAGAATTTAAATACTGTAGAAGTACAGGACTTGATGACTGACAGACTTAAGTGATGGGGTAAATTGTCTTCTTACACAAATGCAATTTCAATTCAACCAACTAAGAACCATTCTACCTACCTACAAGAGCACTGTACAGGCATAGAATGGGTTTACTTGTAAGGTGAATTTTGTGATAATTTTCTGAGTGATCTGTAGGAGATACTCAGCACCTGTTCTGGTCTGTAGTATCAAACGGCTTACCGAAAGTCTTAGCAGCCTGGATAGTTTCCCTGGATCCACGAATTGTCATAATTTGGGCCAAAGCCGTTAAATCATCGCTTGCTTTATAAAATGGATATCGTCCACTAAGCAGAGAAAGGAAGATGACACCTGCAGACCACATGTCAATTGCTGGAACAGAAAACAAGCTTTTCAAAAGCCCTGATCCAGTTTGGTGATTTAAATCAACAGTTCTCACTTCAAAATTTCTGATGCCAGGTCAATCCCATCAGACGGCCTCTCGTCCATGAACAACTGTTCCACGAGCCCTTAGGTTGTTCCACGACCCCTGAGGTTCTGCCCATCAGATTATCTCCGGGATGCTTTGTGGAAAGTTTACTACTACTGTACCCAGCAGGACACCGAATCTGAGTGTGCATCCTGACTCAAGTGGAAGCACACTGCTTCATTCAGTTTTGTATCACTACCAAGGTGAGTAAACACATAGTACAGACATTTCTTTAATGCGAGTAGACAGAAAGATTCATCTAGTCAACCAAAAAATGTTTAATGGATTATGGCTACCTGGCCATCTTTTAAAGTACAGAAAACAATTTTTAAAAATTATTTAACGTTATAATTACAAAATTCAAGCTACAGAAAACAGATGTTAAAAAAAAACTTACACTACACTAATTCAGTGACTGAAAGTCAGTGTCTAAAAAGTGGGAATGCTGCACTGCTAGAAATGCTTACATAATTAAAATTCGATGTGCATATGTACATTTATTATAATAGCCAAAGATCAACAAATAAAATATATTTGGAATCATCAAAATCTGAACTGGGTTCTCTATTTCCAAAGAGCCTAGTGTCACCATATTTAAAGAGCATCAAGAAAGGGGGTCTCAAGCCCACCAGCTGCTGAAAGATGCTTCCCTAAGTCCATGAAGACGACAGCTTTTGAAACTCTATGTGGCACTCTGCTCCACAGGGACAACCTAATGGTAGAGGGCTTGGTGTTTTTTTTTATTCTCGGGGCAACATACCTGTAGTCTGATTGGGGCACTTTGTCAAGACTTCTGGTGCTCTGAATCCTGGTGTCCCTGCCCTTGGGGCAACTTGCTGCCGCCTTAGGATGAAGAAATGAGATTTTCCTAGTCATGCTAAAGTTTAACATTTTAGACTAAAAACAACATGTTTATAATAATACTCAATTCATAGTAAATTTTGCCTTGATCTCTAAATTAAGAAAGCAAATGATAATCCAGTGTGCTGAATATCCTAAATTGTGTTCCCCACCCTGGTCCTGCCCACTATTAGTTTCCTGGTTTTATTCTAGGTAAGTTTGAAGGTAACTTCCAAGAATAAAAAGACACGATAAGAGCCATAATAGAAAAATAAAATACAAATGGTATACAGAGATATAAAAAATAATTTCTATTTGGGGTGATTAATTACTGGTGTGATAGTTAGGTTTATTGTGCCAACCTGGCCAATGGGAATATGGGGGATTAATCAGGTCACAGTTTGACTGGAGGGCAAAAAAGATAAATGGCTCTGTAAGGCCCGCCCCCGTCTCTCTTGCTCTCTGGTGATAGGACCAGAGTGCCGCTGCTTTAGCTAGTTCTCTGCCTTAACCTGTGTGCTACACTACCTGTGGGGCAAGCCAACCCATGTTGCTAGAGCTTATGGCTTCTTTGAGACCTGGTTGCTGGTTGATCTCCCCGAGGAATGATCCCATTATCTTGGACTCAATGTTGGCTTCTGCTGCTGGCAGATGGGGCACTTGGCAGTGGCCAAGTCAGCCTCGGTTAGTAGAAGTCCTATGTTGCTGCACCCATGCATAATAACCTCCATCCTGGCCACCATGTCCACTTTGTTCATGTGCCCATAAGGCAACGACAGGAGCAGAGAAGGAAAGAGGACTAGTCTCCACAGTGTGTGCCATCTTATTCACTTGTTAAAGTCCTCCTCTTCAGAGGAAAGCCTTTGGTGAGCGTTCACTTGAGACAGGATTATCTCTACTTTCTTGGTCCATTCAGAGGAATCTATCCACATACCCCTTCCCCACACCTCCTTGTCACCAATTTTCCAATCATGTTTCTTCCAATTCCCGAACATCCCATCAAGCCATTAGCCACAGCCCATAAATCAGTATACAGTCTCACATTTGGCCATTTCTTCTTCAAGGCAAACTGAATGGCCAGGTGCACTGCAATAAGTCCTGTACACTGGAGGATTTCCCTTCACCACTGTCCTTTAGGGAGATCCCAGAAAGGGGCTGTAGTGCTACTGTCCGCTTACGAGTGGTACCCACATACCATGCAGAACCACAAGTAAAGCAAACATGAATTTATTGTTCCTCAGTCAACTTATCATAAGGAACTCCCCAGGAGGTCATAGGTGCAGACTGGGAGAAGGAAGGTTCCGTGATAGGAATGGAGAATGTGGGCATTTGGTCCAATTCTTCATGCAACTTACTTGTACATTCAGGTCCTGTTCTAGCCTGATCTCGAATACACCACTTCTATTTAACAATGGAGTGTTACTCTGCACGTCCAACTTTATGACTGTGGGTCAGACAATACCCAGTTCATGATGGGCAGCTCAGGCCTCATGGTGACTTGGTGGCCCAAGGTGAGGCATTCAGTCTCCACTAAGGCCCAGTAATAAGCCAACAGCTGTTTTGCAAAAGGGGAATAGTTGTCTACAGAGGATGGCAGGACTTTACTCCAAAATCCCAAGGGTCTACACTGTGATTCGCCAATAGCGGCCAGCCAGACTCCACACTGCATCTCTATCTATGACTGAACCTCTAGCACCATCGGGTCAGCTGCAACATATGGCCCCCGTGGCAAAGCAGCTTGCACGGCAGCCTGAACCTGTTGCAGAGCCTTTTCTTGTTCTGGGCTCCACTCAGAATTGGAGGCCTTTCATATCACTTGATAAACAGGTACATCGGAGTAGCACACCCATTGAGGGATTATGTTGCCTCCCAAATAAGAAGAGACCTACTAGGTGCTGTACCTCCTGTTGTTGGGGGAGAGGGGGAGGCAGATGCAACAGCTTATCCTTTGCTTTAGTAGGAATGTCTTGACTAAACCTAACTATCACAACGGGTATACTTAAAATTAACAAGGAAGATTTTATGGAAAGCAAGCCTTAAAGAAGAGGGGAAATTTATAAAGCAAAGATAGAGGTGGGAGTGAGAGCTTCACCTCCTCGTTCCTTAACTCTCTTTATTTTCACAAAGACAGGGATATAAAGTAAACAACACCCTACCAGGCAGAAAAGATTACACCAGCAAGAAAATGTGAGATTGTATGGTTCTAAAATAAGCTTTTACCCCCTCCTAAAATTATTTGCATATAAAAGCAAATGTGTTCTCCAAAAAGCATACACATGTCAAATGAACAACATAAGGGAAAAGCGATGATTTTCCCTGCATCAGAGCCTGTGTAGTTTAGATTTGCCTTGTCCCTCCTCACACAACTAAATCAACTGCTCACCAAATCAATGCACGTTAATTCAGTCTGACAACATGCAGGCAATCATGTATTGCCATCAAAGCACGTTACCTCGAAAGGCATATGCTGCAAACTTTATCTGTTCCAAAGCAGTCGCAGGTCTGGTTAGCTGGGCAAGAAGTGGTAGTTTTCCTCATTACACTGCTGTTCATAACTTTTGTAGAAATAACCTTCTTTTTTGTTGCTAAATTTCTAGAGAGTATATCCACAGTTTTTGACGGCTTCATGAGCTGTAAAAGAAGGGTCTTACTTTCTATTTTCATGACAATTAACGTGATGCATTCAACTGCTGGTAAGGCCAAAACCAGAAGTGGAAGTACAGCTTTAAAAACTGCTGGCTGTGTTATATGATTGCAAAAAAAACATAGCAGCTGTCAATTAACATTTTATGGGATCGCTCAGTGGTTTTTCTGTAGAATAAACTGACATTCTATTTTACTTATTAGTCCTGACTGGTAAGCAGTTGACTTACACATGATTACAACTTTCCCTGATAGTATTTATAGGCGTATAGTGTCTAACTCCATTTCAGAACTGTAGACTGCACAATTACATTGGATAAAACCAGTTTTAGTTTGTGGCTCATGCTCTCTGGCTGTTACAGAACATTTAAAATCATCTACCATTGCTGACAGTTTTGCTAACTAAAAACGTTTTCTGTGCAAGTAACTGTGATGAGAGAGAGAGCCAATAATTACAGGCCTGACTGTACTAAACAGTCTACAAGAGCAACAATAGCTAGCTAACCAAAAATGATGAGAAAATCTGATAAGAATTTTGGAAAGAGCTGGGGAAAATAAAAAAGTTTGACTCAAAGCTCAAAGCAGTAATACCTTGTGTCATTGTAAAACTTTCCTCTAAAATCATTACAAAGTGCTAGCCTAGCCTTTACCTAAAGAGTCTTCAGCGTACAGCTGACTGACTGATCATTGCACTAGAAAGCTACATTACTTACTTTCACTGCAGGGCTCTCATGTGAAATGGAGCTGTGTATATTGAAATTTCTTTCTCCAAAAACAGAGCGCTGGACAGAAAGGCCTACATATCCCTCCTACAATACCAACAAAAACAAGGAAAATAAGGGTTATATCTGTAACACTTTCTGCCAGCTGTACTCTGCCATAGTTTTGAAAGAGTTAAGTGACATAAAACAAAAACAGCTGCATCCAAGTCATTCCCAGGCACCAAAACACGTCTGTGAAAGGAGAAACCCATCCAGACAGGACTCCTAGAACTCACACAAGGTTACCCTAACCCACAAATACACACACACCTGCAAACACCCAAAAACCGCCTGCATGGATGTGACATTTTGCTGTACAGCTAAAATGGAGATAGACACTTCAGAATTTTTGCCCTACTAACTAAGCACTTCTTTTTGCTAGATAATTAATCTGCACCTTATAGCATGCAGGAAAAAATGTATTCTTTTCCAATTTTGTGTACTTTCGTGACACACACAACAAAGACATTATAAATCTATCAAGTAAATCTCAGTCTTGAGGATAAAGGCAAAATGACTCCGTACAAATCTTTGGGAAAATTCAATCGATTGGATACATATTACCAAAAAAAAAATTTTTTTTAATCATTTGTAGTAAATCTCAGTCTTGAGGATAAAGGCAAAATGACTCCGTACAAATCTTTGGGAAAATTCAATCGATTGGATACATATTACCAAAAAAAAAAATTTTTTTTAATCATTTGTAGTATCCTCACATTTTATCACCTTCCATTAGATGCAAGAGCACATTTTTTGAAATAACACTTAGGAAATAAAAGAAACCGAACCTTTCCATCTTTTCCTTGTTTAACGTGAACGTGCGCACTTGTGTAGGGCCTTTTAACTGCTTTTGCGGTGGGCTGCTGATCCAGCCCTTTAGGTGCTAGGTTGCTCAGTGAAATCTTGGTTCCCGTGATTCTGTGGGACTTATTTTGTGAAGAGCTTTCCTGCTGAGCTTCAGCCTGCACAAGTCTGAGCAGATCTATTTTTGTATCGTGAGTTCCTTGGGCCAAACCAAAGTCTACCAAGGCATACCTGAGAAACAAAATTAAGCAATTTTACTCCTCTGTAACAAGTAAAGCTTTAGTGACATCATATTACAAACTATATTTATAAAGAAATTATAATTTTGGGAGAGGGAGATCAATTAAGAGTTAATCAGATTCCTGGAAAAAAAAGAAAAGAAAAATAAGTTTTCTAACAGCTAACAGGATCACAATTAAGGTAAAATGCAGTGCAATAAAAGAACACGATCATGTCCCAGAGACCTGCCACTGACAGGTAGACGAGGAGGCACAGCCTTCTGAGAGGGCGGAGCCACAGCAAACGATTTCTACTTTCAAAGCAGAAAAGACACTAATAAAATCACGGTTTTCAAACAGATTTGAAGATGGCAGAAAAAAGCCAGGGATCTAAAGGTTAAAAAAAAAAATAGGGTTCTATTCTTACTATAGTCAACACAATCCACTATACGAGTAACACCTAAATAACTGATCCACATGCAAATATAAAAACAGAATTTCGTGTTAATATGGAGATTAGCATCATGTGGTTAGCATCACAACTATCACCTGGTTAAATCTCATTTACCAGGAAAGGAAAACGAAGCTCAGAGATAAAGGGCACGGAAAAGGCCAAGTAGAGTCAAGCCCTTTGTCAATCGTGACTTGGGAGTTCAGGGAATTCCCACTGAGCCACAGCACGCTGAATGGGCATCTCGACGCTGCTTCACTCACACAGTCCCCTCCCTGCAGTTCCTGTTCCCAATCACCACGAGCATTTGGAGAGGCGCCCATGGAGGCTGTACTGTGTTCTAGCATTAAGACAGGGACCCTGCAGTGTGTACGGATACTTACTTTCTGGTAACTTTTCACACTTACTTTTTCAGGTGCCTGTTATATAAGAAATTGCTGGGCTTAACATCACGGTGAACAATACCAAACTGATGAATGCGTTTCAAAGCTCTGAACAGATTAAACATATATTCCCGTACTTCTTGAACAGAAAGAGAATTCAAAATATCCTAAAATAAAGTTTTGAATGAGGTCAAACAATTATTTCCAATGAAATGTTTGGGTAATAAAAATCCAAGAGAGACACACCTACCAAGAAGGACTCGTGCTCCAGATACGGCATGGCAATAACCACGTGATCGTTTTTCCTAAAGCAGCACTTGATTCCCATGACATTGTCTTGCCCCCTAGTGGAAGAATGTAAAAGTGACTTTAGAGAAGAGGTGAAATGAATTGAAACTTTATGCTTGCTTTGTTTTTTAAAGTAAATTTAGCAGTGCATAAATAATGCTAAAAACTAAGTGAAAACCACTACCATATAAGAGATTGTATGAATTTAAATAACTTGCGTAAGGAGATACCGTTCTTTAAAATAGTACCATTTACAAGGTTATCACAATAATTCATGTATGAGATAAGGAAAGGATAACTATAAGAATGAGTTATCAGGACATAACAGCAGATGCAATGATAATAGTAATTACTGACTGAAAGTGGCAAAGAAATAACAAGACAGCTGGAAAATGGAGGGCAGTTCAAGACAAAGGAGAGGTCTTAGACATCGTCTGTATCACGAGAGGAATGACTATCAGACAGGAACCATGAGTAAGACATGGCAGACGATTCTGCGGTTGCCAGTAAAAATGCAACGAGAATGTCACTGGGGAGACACGAGAACACACCTCATGTTAAAATCGGGGCCATGGAAGCCCAGGCTTGTGATTTGGCAGGAAGGTCACTAAAGGAGTGGCAAAAGTACAGGAAGCCAAGCTGGGGCTCTTCTGGAAATCCACGCGAGAGCTGAGATACAGTCAACTAACCTTTCCAAGGTCAGAGGAAACGTGCTGGCAAACTGGAAACACTTGACTGAAGGATATGTTTAATTCAGGGGCAATCTCATCATCTCTTATGAATTATATACAGCTAGTTAACTTCAAAGGTCTTTAAATCACCTACCCAGCCACTGTGAGGCACTGAAGTTCAGCAGCAATTCTTACAGGGTGACTTGTTGGAATTAAGTGTTTCAGAGCAATTTTCTCTTCAGGGCCTACTTGTAACTGTGCTGTAGCCAAATAAACTGAGCTGAAGGTGCCTGTAAGACAATATTTGACATCTTAAAAAAGTTCATGAAGTGATGCTGAAACATCCTAAAAACTAATCAAAATTCACAAACCTATACAAAGTCATTAACATTGAAAATTAGCACAAGCACATCTTTAAGTATGGGGGTGCTGAGATGGAATCAACTCCTTAGTAGTGTTTGGATCGCAGTTTGGCTCTCTCGGGCCTCAGGTTTCAAGGTACTATTCTACCCAACTATAATGGAGAAAGATGGACAAAGATTTGACCTAATTGACCAAACACACTCATCCGAATCTTCACTTTTCATTTTAAAGAATGATTAATTACAATGACATTATTTGTATATTAATACAATAGTGAGACTGCTCATTTTATATTTCTTCATTCCTTATAGAAAAAAAGAAAGCAAGATCCTCATATGCCATAGTCTTAATATTTTAAGAATAGGGGTGCATTCTTTAATAAGAAACAATAAGGGAAATAGTAGGGAAAAAAGCTAGTAAAAATAAAATACATCCTGAAATTACCTTCTCCAATTTTCCCCTTGATCTTAAACACATTACCAAGCTGTGGTACAGCTTCGTAGAGCTTCTCAATATCTTTTTTAACACCTATAAAGAAAAATTTATAGTGATCATTGAGTGCAATTAAAGTTTTATGAACTTGATGAAATGAATTCTTAAACATGACAAATCAATCACAAATAAAGTTTCTGTAAGCCTTGAAACCATCACAAGAATAGTTAATACTCCATCATGCAGTACACTACAATAAACTACATATGACTGTCTGAATCTGAACACTGCAGTATGGGTAAAAAATATTGAATTATTTGAATACATTCAGGACAACGTGCTGGAAGAGGCCAATGGAAAAACCATCGATGACAAGAACACTGAATTTAGAACTTGATAGTCCTAGTGGCGC